CGCACATTCTCATTTACATTCTTACATCCTAATCTCCAAGAGTAGAAATCATAGAAAGCATCTCAAATTTGGATTTCACTCACCAATTATACACGTGTCACCACTCCAACCAGCCGTGCATGTACAATAATCAGGAGCTGTGCATGTACCACTATTTTGACAATTATTTGTGCATGTAGCTAAAAACAATCATAGAAATTATTACAATGAATCAAACTCTCAATCTACATTACCGATTGTACACGTGTCACCACTCCATCCCGTAGCGCATGCACAAGTTGTGGGACCTATGCATCCACCACCATTTTGACAAACAATTGAACACGGTTCTGAAAAGAATAGGCATACATTTGTTCGAAAATCTAGATAAGTGATAAAAGAAACAGCCTACTCACCGACAACTATACCACCGGAACTACTTTCATTGTTAGTATTGCCATTGGGATTAGATTGGGCGTGGCATAGCTGAACAGGTATAGTACTGCCATCGTCCGCCGTGAGACTAACAGCGGTTGTATTACTGAATTGTTGATGCATAATTTCAAACTGAGCAACTTGACAGGATAAATTTTGACACGATAAGTTTTTCGGATACTCTAGTGCGACGTCGAAGACGATAGCAACTCCTATACGATCCGTTTTATCGCATTGAATACTATATGGAAAGTCATAGGTAAGTATGGTTGACAAAAATATATTAAGAAGAAAATTACTCGCGGCGCCGACGTCGATTTCTGCCGCCGCTTGCATGTGCACTGCTGATGCCGTTGACGTTGATGGAGTTAGGGGGAGCACCAATTGCTTCTTGCAGCTAAAATATATTATATAATATCAATTAACATCAAAAATAAAAATTACGCAAGAAGCGGTTGTCTGGCGGTTGGTAACCGATTGTGTTGCACGTTTTCTCGCAAATCCAGATGGCAACATGTAAGACACAGTCATCGAAGTAAGTGAGTTTTCTAGTTAAGAGTACTTATGTAAATAAAATAAAAACAAAAACAAGAAACTAACTAGCGGCCGTTAATGCTTGTGTGGCAGTTATGTCATCAGTGCTGTTGGTGATGTTGTTAATGTTTTTAATGTTGTTGATGTTAAAATCATTTGTTGATACATAGAGCGGAATCAACGAAAGAACAATTGTGCACGCAACAGCAAATAGTGCCAGTGCAAAAAGGCCAAGTATAGAAAATCTATTGAATTAATTAAAGATGATAAAATTCATCAGATATACTCAAAACTCACATTCGAGGTCGTGCTGAGTTTATATAAGCCATAGCTTTGAACTAATTGAAAGAGTATTGTTTTGAAATCAAGATAAATCTGATGATTTATACAAATCCCAGTAGCTATTTAGATAATTATAGTACTTCTAAGTAGAACAACAATTCTCAATATGAATGATATCGTTTGTATGGTATAAACTAAATTCAAATGGTATAGATGTATTTATCGTGAAATAATATCCAAACACGATAAAAATCGAAGAGGAATAATCGAGTATACGCGTAGTCAATATAAATGGAAAAAAATTAACTAAACGAATATGTAAAGAACATAGGCTTTTATATTTTTTGTTTGTATGATTTATTCATGCATAAACTGTTTTTTTTCTTTTCTTTTCTTTACGATTTATCCCAATACGAAAATAAGCAGGCAGCAAAACAGAAGCTTTAATTTGTTTTTCTTTCGTTGGTCTAAGGCATATCGTTTATATTTAATATAGATAAGTAATCCAAAGGTGAGTACTCAAATTGCCAGTAATCGAAATGTGAGTAATCGAAATGTAAGTAATCGAAAAGTCAGTACTGAAATTGCCAGTAATCGAAAGGTGAGCAATCGATCAGTTTTCTTACATTAATGAAATAGACGAAGATTATATGATGCGTATACAGTAGCGGCCAAAAGTACTCCCCCCCTTGTATCTCAGCCATTACAAGTGCTGTTCATCTGAAACTTTGTGTGTACATAGTACTCAGTGAATGTAGTTCAGCGACACAACCGGCGCCCCGATCGCATTTAGTATAAGGGAGTTATAGCCAAAATAGTGTATATTATTGTGGACCTCATAAATCGAGAAGGGAAGGATTTATAGAGTTGCGGTTTTTTTCATTATATAGCCCTATACTTTGACTATGTTTGGTAAAATTTTCATTGATTTTCATTGAGCCATTGTAGAGCTATAATTTTTTTACTGGAAACATGAATTTTGACAAAATCGTCCAATTAGACTAAAAAATTCATAATTCAGTCAAAGTTCAATCAATTCACTTGAAACTTGCAGAGAATATTGCCCTATAGTTACTCTTCATTAGATAAAATTTTCAGATTTTTATCATGTACTATAGAGGAATGGCACTCTGGTGAACATGGCACTATTGTCACACATATAGATACTCGAATATTCAAGTAATTCATTTCATCTTTTTAGTACATAACTAGCATAGGTAGGAGTATATATCTATATAAAAAAAATACACAAATTGCATCAATTACTATGAAAACAAAACATGAACTTTTAAAACATGTTTTTACACCATTATAATACAATTTTAATTTTTTTAAATAATTAATTTATTTAGATATTAATTTTTTTTTATTGTTATTATAAAGTTTCTACAATGAAATGAAGTTTATACAATAAACAAAGCCAACCTAGATAATAAAAAAAATTAATATCTAAATAAATCAATTATTTAAAAAAATTAAAATTGTATTATAATGATGTAAAAACGTGTTTTATAAGTTCATGTTTTGTTTTCATAGTAGTTGATGGAATTTGTACGTTTTTTTTATATGTATATATACCCCTACCTATGCTAGTTATATGGTAAAAAGATGAAATGAATTACTTGAATATTCGAGTAGCTATAGGTATGACAATGGTGGCTTGTTCACCAGAGTGCCATTTCTTTATAGTACATGATAAAAATCTGAAAATTTTATCTAATGAAGAGTAACTATGGGGGAATATTCTCTGCAAGTTTCAAGTGAATTGATTGAACTTTCGCTGAATTATGAATTTTTTAGTCTAATTGGACGATTTTGTCAAAATCCATGTTTTCAGTAAAAAAATTATAGCTTCACAATGGCTCAATGAATTTCAATGAAAATTTTACCAAACATAGTCAAAGTATAGGGCTATTTAATAAAAAAAACCACGACTCTATAAGTCCTTCCGTTCTGGATTTATGAGGTCCACAATAATAAACACTGTTTTCGCTATAACTCCCTCATACTAAATGCGATCGGGGCGCCGGTTGTGTCGCTGAACTACATTCACTGAGTACTATGTACACACAAAGTTTCAGATGAACAGCACTTGTAATGGCTGAGATACAAGGGGGGGAGTACTTTTGGCCGCTACTGTACTTGTAATTAGACGATGTTTGTTTGCCATTTTTTGAGCAACTATCGTATGTTACGATTATAAAAATCCTCAAAATGATTATTTTCTGATGGATAAGGGCGAACATTTTGTAACTATTCTAATATAATTAGAAAACAACAATTGTCTCATATAACACTTTAACGGCTTATATACTGTCCAGTTTTAAAAATCATTTCAAATATGACATAAATTGATTGGATCAAGCTTTTGTTTTGGTTTAGTACTATATCAGATGAGCTGTTTGTTAGATTTTAAGAGACAGTATATGAGTCAAGATTTACTTATTTTCAGAAGAATATAGACATAATTTTATATTTAGTTTAAGATATCACTCGATAAATAATTAAAGTCTGAATAAAACTGAATATAGATAGTTTCAAATTATAAATAAAATTAAACGTTGATTATACAAGATTTATTAAACTCTTATACTGCTCAATAAAACGTTTACTCGATTGAAATTAATCAAAATTGTGAAATTCTTAGACATGCAACCAGCGGAGGATTCTAGTTGACTGAAATCATAAACTTTCAATGAATTATAACTGCTTGGGCATCATTAATATAAAAGGAAGATTGAGAATCAATCATGCATAGCATTCAAGCAAATAAACGAAATGACTAATACTAATACTTCAATTTAATAATAATAAATTCTTATCCAATTCAGTACATTTTCAGAAGAAAATTATACGATGACGTTACTGTTGAAATTATCTTGAATAAAAAACATAAATTCATCGGTAGTGTAGAAATGGATATTTTTGTTTTGATTCAAGATATACATCAATACGTATATTTCACATTATGTGATATATTTACCTTCGCAAAATTATGTATATTATTGATGTAATATAATTGCAGTACGTAAACAGAGATAAAAATGATACGAAAAAGAACATAAAACTAATGAAGCATAGTTAATGAAAGCGAACAGAAAAAAACAAAAACATAAACAAATATTTTTAATGGCCATCTGTGCTTCACATTCTATTACCCGTTTATAAAAAATAATGCAAGTGATTGATTATTTTAGAATTTTTCAGTAGGATATTTTCTTATACATCAACTATAATTCTCATCTTATATAACCATTAATAATCATGATAATAAATATTAATTCATATTAGTTAATGTTTTTTATATAAAGAAAATTCTTATTAAATTACCTTAAATATATATATTATTTTAAGATAAATTTATATTTAGATAATTATTTAAATGAAACCTAAAATTTATTCTAATAGTTCAAAGATTTAAAAACAATTCTACGATTACATTTATTTTTTTCACTATCATATCTATTTTTATTAGCAAAAATATATTGTATATTCAAAAAAAAAGATTTTTATAAATTGAATTTGTTCGGATATTTAATGCTAAAATAAATAGAAATTAATTCTCTTTCAAATTGAAATCAATAGTAAAGTTAACAGTTTTGTTGTAATCAGAACACTCAAATCTATATGAAATTTTATATAATTAATAAAACTATTAATTCAAACAAAATCTAAGAAAAATATTTTCAATAAAGCTTATTGCTGTACTAATAATTTTGTCTTACTGAACCTAATCTGGAAGAAATTGTTGTCAAATAATTACTTTAATAAATAGTGAAAAGTTAATTGTTACATTTGTTCATAAAGACTAATGAATATACAAACGTCTTTAATAATTATCTATTTTTTTTCTAATATATATGAAATTAGCTCTGAACTCCACTATATTTACTTTATAAAGAATTTCAATCATCATATTTTGATATGACCGAAGTTTTTCAATGAAGTAGATAATTAAAGAAAAATTGAGAAAATATTAAGACAACATTCATTGATTAAATCTAAACTATTGACTAATTTTCTGTTATTATCTTACTATAAAAAAAGTAAAAAGTTTACACTATATTTTCAAACACAAAATATGAACATCAAATGCAATTTTTTTTAATTCAAGAAATAAAAAAGAATTTTGAGTCAAAATATTTGATTTATTAGCAAGAATGTTGATCATTGTTGTTCAAAATATGATTTTTAGAGATAGTGAAAAGTTTAAAAAATATATCATAGTAAAATCTATTAGGCAAATAACAGAGTTTTTATTGATTATGAAGCGATGATTTGAATGAAAGACAATATTATATTCATTA